AGTATGTGAGAAAGGCATCCTCCCGCACCCCCTCAGGACCCCCTTCCCTGCCACTAACCCATGGATATGTGCCCCCATGGGTTCATTCATGCTCATTACAAATTTTAAATTTCAGCAAGCTCATTCAGCCAGTCCCCACCTTACTAATGGATTAAAGAACAAACAACAAACGGCTGCTCTCTGGGATTGATGGTTTAATAAGCAACTATGCTCTCCACTGTGGTGGGTGCTGTTGACGGCCCATCTGTGACCCCTTTCCCAGGCCAGTGCACCCACCCCCCAGCTACTGTGAGTGTTGGCCGTTAACGGTTCACTGTTGTTCCCCTTCTCTGGGGGGCTGCCTTTGGGGGAATGGGAGCCTCACTTGGGTGCCGTGCACACACCATGCCACCTAGCCTCGGCAACCAATGACAGGTGGAGATGGCCTCCTTGCTTCCAAGTGGGACCAACCCTGTGGCACAGTTCATGAGATTGAGCCAAGGGAGAATGCCTCTGAGGTCACATCCTCTCCTCTCCTCACCTATCCTGCTTCCCTCCCCCAGTAAACCACATGCATCTGAACAGGCTTTGCTTTTAGAGAATCTGACCCAAGATGTCCAGTCAATCTTCAAATGTCTATACAATGCCAACTTTGAATGGAATAGTCTTCATAGTATCTTGACCCCCGAAGCCTCCAGAATCTCCAAACCAAACTCATCAGAGCCCCCAAGTTCTTTTAAGTCTTGATGTCCAAGATACTCATGCCTGGAAGCTCTCTGGGGCTGGAGAGGTCGAGAGGGGAAATAAAGGACAGGGACTCTACCAGGACCTCACAGAGCAGCTCCTAAGACAGCATCTACAGGCAGCCTCTACCAGAGGGTTTGGAGTGGGCACCAGCAGCTCACAAGGAAATAAAAGGAAATATTCTGGGGGAAGAGTAGGGGCAAGTTTCAAGTCCTGAGGGCCTGAGGGAAGGAGGGTGAGTAGCCAGGTCCCAGTACAGAAGGGACAAGCACCCCCTGGAGGAGTGACACAGCTATGGCCCCAGTTTCTGGCCTTCGGGACCTGAGACACTCTGCTGGGCGAGGCTAACTTCCCACTCGAGGAACAGACAAGATAGTTCTAAGTCAGAGGATGCCTTTGGTTACTTGTGGTAATAGGGGCTAGAGTCAATAACCCACAAGGAAGTGAGGAAGGAGTCAGAGTCATGCACAGAGCCCCTTAGAGCCCTTAAGTGAGGGAGCCGGAATGCTCTCCTGGATCAGCACGAAGGTGGAAGGAAAAGAACAATCCTCCTTGGGCTCTTTGATCTTTCAGGTCCTGTTCTAAGTGAGGCACCTGCAAGAGCTCTACGGGAGAACTTATATGAAAAGTGGTATCCATGCTTTCATATGAGCAAATTAAGGCTCAGGGAAGTCAAGAAAGTAGTTCAGTTTCCCCCCCTCTCCTAAGCCCTTCCACTGTCATTCACATTAACCGCAGTCTCTCCCACCTCAAAGTAACTGAGGTCACTTTGGTTACAAAGCCAGCGAACAAATACAAACCCCCACGATCTCTTCGGTCCCCTGACCCTCTTCCATCTCTAACCTATGTTTCTGCCTAGTGCTCTTCATGTGCCCCAGAGATTCAAGAATGAATTGTCGGCTCCCCACCCTCTTCTCATCCCAGTTCATTCCTGCACTCACGACAGTATGGCCCAGGAGTAGTCCACTCCCCACATTCACAATGAGAATACGAGACTGCTAGAACCTTCTCATGCTACGAAGCCACAGCACATGTTTGTATCTTTCATTTACTTGATGTCTGCTGCCTGTCACATCATTGAGCACTTCCGCACACTTCCTTTAAAAATTTCACCTTGCTTTCTGGCTCTCCCTTCCACTGCATCATCTACTGCTTCTGTCTCCTTGGAGGCACCTGGTTTATGGAGTTGCCTTTAGTGATGGGACAGCTTTGCTCCAGTCCACACACACAGCACCTGGGCCCCGCTGCAGGAAGGGATGTAGAGTGAGTGGCCAATCAGCCCCTCTAGGGTAGAGCTGATGTTATCCAAACCTGGCCTGGGTCCAACTGCAGACCGTTGAAATGACTTTTCACCAATTTGAAGCAGTTCCCTCATCAAAAAAGTGGATGTTCAGGGTGACTGGGTGGCTCAGTGGGTTAAGGCCTCTGCCTTCGGCTCAGATCATGATCCCAGGGTCCTGGGATCAAGCCCTGCATCAGGCTCTCTGCTTAGCAGGGAGCCTGCCTCCCCCCACCCCGCCTGCCTCTCTGCCTGCTTGTGATCTCTGTCAAATAAATAGATAAAATCTTTTTTTAAAAAAAGTGGATGTTCACTATAAAAAAATGTGCAAGAGGGAGTGAAATCCCTGGTGAAGATAGTCTTGTAACACACACACACACACACACACACACACACACACACCCTTATAATGACACACCTCGCTGAAATGCTAAATCTACAGGCAACGAAAACTGGAATAGTCTGTACGCTCAGCCAAGTACAGAAACCAGAACTCCTGCCCGCCAGCTGAAAGTTCCAACCGCTCTGTCTGGCCGGGAGAAAACAAACACCACTGCAGACACACAAAACCTGCATTTAGGTCTCATTTGGCTAGGGCTTGTAAACAGCCCCTGTGGCTGGTGGGTGTGGCTCCTGAGATGACCACGCCTGAGCCTCACCAGAAGTAAAGGCAGCTCGTTAGCAAACTTGGGGTGGCTAAGGGTCTGCTTGGAGGTGACACACTCACAAACAGCAAGCTTGGGCCTTATGCCTGATTTTCTCCTGCAGGTGAATGATCAGTATTGGCAAGGAGCTCCTCTACCTGCCGCGAAATAACAACAAGATGGTGATGAGGAGGAAAGTGGCGGAAGATTGCTCAAACTGTGCTTCGAGTGCTTGTCCCAGTCCGTGACTTCTCTTGCTAGTCTGCAACGAGGCACGTAGATACACTGAGAGGATGTTTTTAGAAGCTTTCATAACCATTTGGCAGGGGAATTTTATGTCTATTCAATTCAACAAAAAATACCACTTATGTTTGGAATATCTTTATTTTAGGTTCATATATTTTTTTAAGATTTTATTTACTTGGCAGAAAGAGAGCTTGCAAGCCTGAGAAGGGGGAAGGGCAGAGGGGGAGGGAGAAGCAGATTCCCTGCTGAGCCAGGAGCCCTATGTGGGACTCCATCCCCAGGGTCCTGTGATCATGACTTTAGCCCAAGGCAGATGCTTAACCAACTGAGCCACCCAGACATCCCTATTTTAGCTTTATATTAATTGATTTTTACTGTATTTTGCTAAAGTAGTTGTCTGCCAATACTAGAAAACAATTTTTAATGCTCCACAGTTCAAAAAGTTGACATAAACAATTAAGAGAAAAAAACCTGTTCATTAAAAGATCCTCCAAGAGGAGAAAGCCACAGAATGAGAGAAAATGTTTGCAACACATTATGAAAGTTTTATATAAAAAAGAAACCCTACATTATATAAATAATTCAAATCAATTAGAAAAATGAGCAAGAAACTTGGATAGACTTTTACAGAGGAAATGCTAGTGCCTATTTAAAATGTAGTAAGTGCTCAACCAGACAAATGAATATCACAACTAAGTCATCCCAGGCTAGTCACCAGATGGGCAAACAGGTAAAAGTCTCCCAAAACCCGAAGGCTGGTGAGGATGCTGAACAATGGGAACTCTCAGGCAAGAGAGTAAAATGGTCGGAATACTCTGGAAAACTCTCTGGCAGTATCCACTAACACTGAAGACACACCTACCCCATGAGCCACAATTCCACGCCCCGGAACCCACAGAAATAAGTTCACATGTGAACTAAATGACCTGGGTGAGCACAATCACAGTGGTATGGCTTGTGGTGGCCGCCAAACGAAAACAAGCCAGAGGTCCACCAACACATTGGAAAAGTAAATGGTGCTGTCTTCACACTAGTAAATATCGGTGACAACAACAGACCACAGCTTAGTCAACAGCGTGGATGAACCTCAAAGACAAGTTCAGCACCCTAGTCTCATCAAGGTCCCATGGGATCTGCAGGACACTCTAGGCACAGACTGTCCAATAAATTCATTCACATTGTGATGCTGGAGTCGTTCCCCTCCATGGTGGAGTCATTCCCCTCCATGGAGCCAGCCTCTGCTTGGTACCCAGATATCGTTGGGGTCAGGAAGTGGTCCCTGAAGGAGTCTTGGGGTAAGAGGAGCCTTGTGAGGCCAGGGAACAATTCAGAGTCTGGCATGAAGCCATCAGGTCAAGAGTGGGGAGGCCAGGTCAGCCCATGGCTGGGGACAGTGATTTCTGCTCCTGGGAGAACCCCCAAAGGGCTGGGTGGAGGTGGGATACAGAAGCCTGTGACCCCCAGGTATACGACAATAGTGGAGTGAGGCCATCTAGGGGAACCAGATCAGGTTTCTGTCGAGGCCCACCAGCAGTCTGTTCAGTCTCAACTAAATATGTCAGCTCTCATGACTGCCATAGGCTATAGGCCAGGGAATACAGCAAGACTGCAGGGCAACGACCAGCGGCTCTTGTCAGCGAGCCCAGGCAACATAGCTGTCTTAGAGCATTCTCCCTGCCTCTCCCTCCACCCCCGCAACACCCCCAGGACTGCTCCAGGGCAAGGGAGCAGGACTTCAAGTGGACCCTCCCTGGTTTCCAAGCTGCATGCCCCAAAGAGCCAGAAGCTCCTGTCACAAGCTGTAGCAAAGCCCACAAGGTCCCCATAAGGGTTATGTCCAGTCACAAGATTCGCCCCTCAGGGAAGCTGGGCTGGAAGCCTGCATTCATGACAGCCCTCCCGGCCGGTTTACCAATCTGGGGTCACTTTCACCACAAGCATTATCTCCTGGTACAGCATCTCGATCAGATTTCCAGGTTAACTTTCTAGATAAGTCAGAGTGGAGATGCTGTCAACTCCCGGAACTCAGGGGAAAGATGTGAATGTGTCTTTGAAAGGTAGGAGCACAAATGGGGTGGCTGTGCTCCCAGGGTTGGCGGGCGGCTTACCTTTTCCGCAGGCCTGCACCAAGCCATACCACTCCCCACAGCTGTTACACAGCAGGGTGAAGGCAGTTTCGCGGTGGCCCGTCACGTGGCCCGGGGCGCACACGTACAGCAGCTCATCCCCCATCTCCAGGCCCGTGCGGCCCTGCAGGATGGTGTGTGGGAACGAAGGCGGGTCTCCACACGGCTTCTCTGAGGACAAGGAGTCACAGTCAGCTTTTCCAAACCATGTAGAACTTTGGCAGCCTGGGAGAAAACCAGGTTAAAAACCACTCTCCTGGGGCACCTGGGTGGCTCATTGGGTTAAAGCCTGTTTTGGGCTCAGGTCATGATCCCAGGGTCCTGGGATCAAGCCCCGCATCAGGCCCTCTGCTCAGCCGGGAGCCTGTTCCCCACCCCCCCACCACCTCCCGCCTCTGCCTGCTTGTGATCTCCGTCAAATAAATAAATAAATAAATAAATAATCTTAAAAAACCACTTCCCCTTCCCTGGGGTCTGCTTGCACCCTGAGCTGGGATCACAGGGGCTGTTTCTCCTTCACCCTTGGTGTCCCCAGAGTCTGGACAAATGCCTGGTCCAAATGAAGCACTCAGAAAAATACTTGCTGAGTAAGTAAGTGTGCTACAAGTGCTATGACTTTGTGCTTTGAAACTGCCAGGCAGCATTACCCTCTCATGCCTCCTTGAAGGGAGGACTCAGAAACATGTGCCTAATAGCAAGCTCCTTTTGGCCTTACTTACATTAGTGAGCAGGTACTCTTTGCCAAAAAGCTAGGAGGCTAAGAACTATCAAGTGCAGCAGAAGGTGCCTCTCCCTTCCCCCACCCTCATCTCTGATGCTGACACTTTTACAGGGTTAGTCTATACAAATAATACAGACATAGGTATTGATATACACTGACGTACATACAGGCTTAGGTAGGTATAGATAGGTATAGCTCTTCTTTTTATCTTTTAAAATATTTTATTTATTATTTTAGAGAGAGAGAGAAAGAGAGAGAGAGAGAGAGAGAGAAAGCACAGAGGCAGAGGGGGAGGGAGAAGCAGAATCCGCCCTGAGCAGAGAGCCCAGTGCAGGACTTGATCCCACAACCCTGAGATCATGACCTGAGCTGAAGGCAGACGCTTAACCAAACTAAGCCACTCAGGCACCCTTAGATAGGTATAGTTCTGTGTGTGTGTGTGTGTGTGGTTTTAACATAAATAAGATTATATCATATGTATTACTGATATCCTCTTTTAAAAGATTTTTTTAATTTATTTATTTATTTATTTATTTATTTATTTATTTATTTATTTATCAGAGAGAGAGAAAGAGAGATTGAGCACAAGCAGGTAGAGGCAGAGGGGTAAGCAGGCTCCCTGCTGAGCAGAGAGCCTGATGTGGGACTCGATCCCAGGACCCTGGGATCATGACCTGAACAGAAGGCAGTGGCTTAACCTACTGAGCCACACAGGCGTCCCTGATGCCTGCTTTTTAAAAAAACCTATTTTTTTTAAAGAGCATTTTTAGGTCCACAGAACAACTGAGTGGGAAGTACAGAGAGTTCCTATGTATCCCGTCCCCATACAGGCACAGTCTGCTCTATTAGCAACATCACACACCAGAGCGACCTGTCACAATCTTGGAGCCCACACTGACACCCTGTTATAACCCCAAGTCTGCAGTTTACATTTGGGTTCACTCTGTAGGTGAGTCCCACGCTTGGATCTGAAGATGGAGAAGAGCCCCCACCAGGGCTGTGCCCTCAAGCTGGCCCCGAGAGTCACTTTTGGTGTATGGGGCCCAGATTTCCTTTTAACCCCCCTGTTCTAGTTCTCCTGTGAGAATGTTTTGACTGGTATTTTTTACTGGAAATGAGCCTTCTAGGAATGAATGTAGACTGATTTGTGTTAAAACTTGCAAATTGCTTACAAAAAATCCAAGACTTCAGCCAGCAAGGGAGTCCCTAAGGTGAGGAGGGGAGAACCAAGCTTTCCTGTTTCCACAGTGATGGGAGCCGTGGGGTCTAGCTCATGTGAGAGACCCTTGGAGTCAGAGGTCTGTGGGGCAGACCCAAACACAGAGCTGTCACGTGGAGTAACGCTTTCACTACTAGCTGAGGGAAGAGGCTAAGGGTCAGGGAGCTGTGGCCTGGGCCAAAGGTCACACTTCCCGCCTCAAGATGCACAGTGGTGCTCCTGCCGTGGTCAGAAGCAACTCCCTACTGTATCCTCTCAGAAAGAATAAATTCCATTCAAAGTATAAATATCTTAGTGGCAAAGCTTCAAATTTCCCACCAATAAGTTCGATGTTAGCTGTAGGTTTGTTGTAGATGTTCTTTATGCAGTTGAAGAAGTTTTCCTCTGCTCCTAGTTTGCTAAGTTTTATCATGAATGGGTATTGCTGTTTCCAAATGTTTTTCTGTATCTATCAATATGATTACATGCTTTTTCTTTAGCCTGTTGATGTCATGGGTTCCATTAATTGATTTTTGAATGTTGCCCCACCCCAGCCTTGCACACCTGGGATAAATCCCACTTGGTTCTGGTGTAAAATTTTTTTTTTCTATATTGCTAGTTCAAATTGCTAATGTTTTGTTGAGGATTTTTACATTTATGTTTATTAGTTATTGGTCTGTAGTTTTACTTTCTTGTAATGACTTTGTCTCATTTTGGTATGAGGATAAATGCTGGCCTCATAGAATATGTTAGGAAGTATTCCTTCTGTTTCTAACTTCTGGAAGAAATTGTTTTAACAACTGGTATAATTTCTTCCTTAAATGTTTGGTAGAATCTCCAGGGAACTTATCTGGGTCTGTTGCTCTCTGTTTGGCAAGGTTATTAATTATTGATTGAATTTCTGTCCTTACATGTTGGGCTAGAAACTAGAAGTCTGTTTTTCTCCCCTAACGTTCTAGAGCTGTTTCTAAATAAGTACTATAAATTAACTCAATATTTTGAAAAGCTATATGTAGCACATTATTTGGTCATTACATAGACATTTTGTTGATTCCAAGTTTTCACTATTTATTATAAACAATGCTACAAAATGAACTTCTCATATGTACATTTTGGTACATACTTTTTAGGATAACCTTCTTGAAGTAGAATTACTGCATCCAAGTGATGTGGTGATGCTTCTTTTTTTTTTTTCAAAAAAGAAAAGAATTTTTAATTTGAATTTCTTCTTCTAGTTTTATATTGGAAGAGAGAGCCTTTAGTCCATATACAGCCAAATCACCTAAGAAACACATTGTTTAAAAAAAGAAAATATGCTAAGAAAAGATGAAAATAGAAATCAGAATTCGTGCTCTAAGCCACTCTGATTGGCCTGTCAGCTTGTAATTTTAGTAGCACTTTCTCAAAGAGCATCATTGCTATTCATGTTCTTCAACACAAGAGATTCTGAATGAAAAAATGGTGTGGTTGCATTTCAGGGAAGTTGGCACAGAGTGCTGTATTTAACCCAAACCATCTTGACTGTGTAGCCCAGGAGATGAGTGTTTGCTTCATCTATGGAGCAAGCAGGGACAGGCAGCCATCTGAAAGCTGCCACAAATCCAAGGGGTGCCCCCTCACTGAGGAGAGAGGCATCATCACTCAGTCTGAGCAGGGCATCCTGAAAGGAATGGACCAAAGTCTCCGTTGTGTGAGGCTGGCCTGAATTCCAGCTAGCACCTGAGAGACAACAGCTTCTATGTCTCTCTCCACCATGCTCAGCTGGCTAGGACTCATGCTGGACATCCCAATTTTCTCCTCTCTTACCAGGACCTAATTCTGGGAAACTGGAGGCTCTTCATCAAATAGCATCAAGGGACTGGTAAATACTATCAGTCTCATGCAGCTCTGTCTGGGGGACACAACACCAACTCCTTAGGAGGGAAAACCTGAGAGCAGAGTAACTGTTCTGAGAGCAGATAAAAGGGAACTTCAGGCCAAATCCACGCCCTAGCAGACTCACGGGATTTTCCTCCCTTTCAGTTAATTTCCAGGACGGCTCTGGCTAGAAACTGACTCGGGAAAACCACAACCATACTCCCGAAAGTCTGCGTACACATACCATGTATTTCTGAATATCCCACCAGTGCTCAAGACAGGAAACACACTGCTTCTAGGTGGTGTGATTTCAAAAACTTCAGGACAACAGCTCTATGTGTTAACACAGCCAAGGGCATGCCAAAAACACCACTCATGTCCAGGTGCAACTTGAATTAGTTCCTTTCATTAACCTTCCCATCTTAGACCTCACAAGGGGCTCTGAAAACCAGCTGGCTACAGATCTAGATCCTATTCTCTTCAGGGAAACTTGCATCTGCACAGCCTTCACTGCTTCTTCTCAGTTATTCCACAGGTAGAGATGGTGGTTTGTGAATTTCTTAGACTCGAAAGCTGGGTTTCAGCAATTTCAACGTTAAGAGCAATTTCTGTCATTTTCCCTTCCAAGAAAAGAGATGTTATGAAAGTTCTTATCTGTAAAATAGTATTAATAAAGGACTCATTTGCCAGTCAATCCCAGCTTCTGATAACCAGTTTCCACAGAATTTAGAACTCCTATGAAAGTTAATGCTTTTCTTTTGAGAAATTTTAAGCCTACAGACCCTCATAATTCCTTTGCAAAACTAAGATGCAGACATTCTGACACAAATGCTTGACCTTTCCTCCTTCCTTTTGGTGTTAACTAAGCTATGTGAAGAAGCTGACTTTCATGCCCACCTGCACAGTTCCCTCCCACCCTAGTCACCCCGTATACAACCGGCACTGCTCTTCCTGTTCTGTCCAATTATATTGTTAGTTCTCAGGTCTCCGTATCAGTGCTCCTCAAACTTGAATGTGATCAGAATCACCCACAGGCTTGTACCACACACACATACACACACACACACACACACACACACACACACACACACCCATCACAGAGACTGCTTGAGTTTCTAACTCAGTAGCAGGTCATAGTTCAGGCCCAAGAATCTGCATTTTTAAGTTCCCAGGTGATGTTAATACTACTGGCCCAGGGACCTTTCTTGGAGAACTAGTGTCATAGATAAAAACCTGCCCTCAAAAACGGGCAAAACTAATATACGGTGATGGGAATCAGAACAGAGATTGCCTTGGCTCTGCTGGGATGAGGAGGGGCAGAGGATCTTTGGAAAAGAGCTGCAGGGAACTTTCTGGGGTAAGGGAAATGTTCCGTATCTTGACTGGGTGTTGATT